TTTGGCAAAGGCAGGTCCAGCCGTTTCGGAGATACGGAGCAAAGAGTGCAAAAAATAGAAATCGAATTTTTGAGAGAAGGGAGTATCCGACTTGAATGATCTAAAAAACATTCAATTAGTAATGATTGGGAGAAGTGTTTATTAGTTTTTGGCAGAGGCAGGCCCAGCCATTTCGAAGATACGGAGCTAAATATGTAAAAAATGGCAGTTTTTAAGAGAACTAAGCGTCCGATTTAAATGATTCAAAGAACTTTGTGCTTGTCTTAACAAAATAATTGATTTCGGATTTTTTTTTTTTTTTTAGTTTTTTGTATATCGAAAATATTTCAGATTTTATTTTTAATTCTGACTATGCAATTCAGTTTATATAATTCTTATAAATATTAGACAATGTTACAATATTTATAATAATCTATTTGAAAACATTCAGTATTCCTCGAACATTTCGTTACGGTACGGGAAGTTCCAGCAATTTGCCTTAAGGCACGATGCCATAATTGCCTCAAGACAGAATTCCACTTACAGCTAGTTTGTATTATTATCAGTGTTATTACTGTGGCCAATGTTGTTGTTGTTTGTGTTCGTTGCGTCTTCGGGATGTGTTGCGCTGTTTCTGGTAATGTTTGCGAAAGTTAGTCCTGGTCTTAGGATAGGATTTGAAGTTGAGTTTGGAGTCGTTGCGGTTCTTTGCAGTAAAGGAGGATATTTTCTTTGGAAATGTTCTCTGTAGATGCTACAGCCTTTGTAGTTGGCGGGGTGATCCTCTCCACAAAGGGCACATTTAACTTGATCGACCTTTTTTTCCCATTTACACGATTTTGTAAGATGATCTTGAGCACATTTCACGCATCTTGGGGTGCGATGGCAGTAATTTCTCGTATGGCCGTACCTTTGGCAGCGTGTACATTGAACGATTTCCCTTGAAAACCTCTTTGATTCGATTTGCACTTTAGTTTTGTATAAGTAGTCGATTTTGTAAAAGTCTTCATTATTCGGATTTTGTTCTAATTCAACAGTGAACATATTCAAAGAATATTTTGAAATTCTACTTTTCATGTTTTCGAAACGAACTACTTTGTAACTTAACTCTTCAATTTTGTTTTTAAGCAACTTGGTGTCCGTGCTGAAATGTAGATTTTTTACTACAATTTTGAACGTTCGTTTGCTTTTTTCTTGAAATGAGTGTAGTTGTGTATCTCTTTCCTTTAGCATCTTTAGAATTTTGTTATAAGATTTGCTATTTTCCACATTGATTTTTACTTAAGAAGAACTGATCAGTTTTAGACTATATTGTTTCGGAGCTTCGTCTTCGAGTAATTGCATTAGCGGCTTGATATCTCCTATTTCGTGAATAAATATTGGAGGAGGTCTGCTGGGTTGCGTTTTTTCCTTTTGGGTTTCTGATGGTAAGGCGGTATTTTTGGCTAAAACTTCATAATAATTTTTTGTGGGCGTCGGATTGAGCCAATAATCCTTGGAGGTCACTTTTTTTGCAGTGTCATTATTAGATAATGATTCACTTTGGTGTCGTTTTTTATTTGTAACAACTTTCCATTCTTGATTGCTGTCAAGATTTTGTGAACTGCATTTATTTTTTTATTTTATTTTATTTTATTTTATTTGGCCTCTTATTTACAAACTAGCCATATACAGAGTTTCTTACATTTAAATTCTAATTTTACATTTAACCACAAAACTATATATAATTTTATAATATTCAATATATGACACTAAATTAACTAAATTAAATGTTTTGACTACACTTTTTATTCTATATAATTAATATAATAAATAATCCCTATTTTTTGAAATCTGCTACATGTTTAAATTATAAGTTGTAAGGATCCCACATCCTACTACCACACAAATTTGAAATTTTTTTATATCTATATCTTCGATATCGATATTTACAATCTGGAAGTTTATATTTTTTTTAATCATAATACTCCACCTTTTCCGTCGACTCTGTCGGCTCTGATTAAATTATATTTTTTTATAAAATATCGACTGTTCCATTTAAACCAGGTTTCAGATAATAATATAATATCAATTTTATGTTGCTATATAAAAATTTGCAAACTTTCTTTATTTGCATTAAAAGATCCAATAATCCATTGTCAAAATTCATTAAGAGATTTATTATTTCATTTTTAAAATTTATTCAACTATTTACATTTTTATTTTTTTTATTTTTATACTGATGTACTATTGCCAACTCCAACTGTATTTTTATGGGCAATGCTTTTACTAGATTCTTCAAAGTTTAACTTTTCGCAAAATAAATCAACACCATTTTTAGCTTCTACCAAAAGTTCATCTATATCATCACCTTCTTTAATCTTGAATCTTTCCCTCAATTTCTTCAATAATTCATCATAATGTATTTGTATTTTTTTAATTTCTTCCAATTCTGAATTTTTACCGAATTTCTCGTCACTATGTGTATTTTTCACTCCCAATGTTAGATTTAAATTCTTATTATGCATTTGATTATTAGATCTGACATTTACTGTTTGCCTTCTTTCAATTATTCGCCTAGGTTTATTCATTGCCATTAACCTATTTGGTTCTATATTTATTTCTTGCTCTTGAAGATGGCTTAGCAATTTGTACTTATTTTTATGTCTAAAATTATTTTCAAATTTAGCCGTTTCATTAACTCTAGGAAATGTATTTTTAAATTCCGGATTATAATGATTTATTTTAGCTGATTCTGCATATTTTTGATTGCGAAGGATAAATTTGGCCTCCGAATATGATATATTCTGAAAGGCCATTAATTCTTTAATTCTTTTATGATATTGAAACACTTCGCAAATTTTATCATTTGCTTCATGTTGTTTATGACACACCGCGCATTCAAAATCTTTTTCAATGAGGCAAATATCCGTGCTATGTTCCCTAGCGCACTTGCGACATCTAGTTTTGCTTTTACATTGTACTCTGATATGACCATACCGCCAGCATTTGTGGCATTGAATAACATTTTGGCTATACGGACTCACCTGCAATTTCACAGAAGATATCGAAACTTTATCTGGCAAATAGTTTCCTTTAAACATAATTTTAACCATTTGCGATTTGTTAAAACTATGGCTTGTAATTCTTTTTTTTATACACTTTACATCAATTATTTCAATTTCTGATTTAATGACTTGTTTAATTTCTTTCTCATCCATCTCGGAGCCAACATTAAATATTATACCTGTTCTACATAATTTATGTTTAGGAATATATACTTTTATTTTGTTTTTGTTCAAAAAATTTTCATTAATTATTTTATTTGCAAACTCAAAATTTTTGAATGTTATTTTAATTTTGTTTTTGCCAATTTTTGTGAAATTTTCTATATTATTACTTAATGCTGGGAAATTTTTATAAATCATTCTTCCCAACGCAACGCTATGGTAGTTACCTAGATTTTGATTTTCTGATTCTGCATAAACTTCATAAGGCCCTTCATCTAATGCACTATAGAAATTCATTACGCTAGTTAACGTATTGAAATTCTTATTACAATTTTCTTTAACTGCAATATTATTATGATTTTCCTCGAATTCTTTTACAGCTGTCAATTCTTTTTGATCTATATCGACTTCTTCTTCAACAACCATATCATTACTATTCTCATGAGATTTATTTAACTAACTGCCCCAAGAGTTTTTTCTTCAATTACCATATCAATCCAGTTTTTAACCGCTTCTTTAAAATTTTCACTTGCTTTGTCTTTATTAATATTTATCATTTCTTTTATTTGCTCTTCATTCAATTCCATTAAAATTTTTTTAATTACATCTTTATTTAACGTATTCTTTTCGATTTCATTTTATTTATTTTTTCCATTTTTTTACTATCTTTTCTTATTTCTGACTTATTTCTACTAACTACACCACTTTTTTAATACTTTTACTATCACTATTTTTAACATTTAGATCCGATTTAACGCTATTTACTTTATTCAAATTAACTAATTTTCCAACATGATTATCACTTAGAATTTCATTTTTACTATGAACAATACCTTCGGAAATATCATATTCCGTATAATCCGTATTATTAATTAATTGCACTGCATTACTTATTTTGATGCCAGTTTCAACTTCTGTGCTCACTACACTATTGTTGCTGGATACCGGCAACCGTAAATCAGCAGGCCCGAGCCTGTGATTCATACCACGTTTATTATTTGTTATCTAATATTATTTGTATCAGTTTCACCTCGATCTTTACCTGTCGAACGCTCGACCTAAACTCAAACTGCATTTAATAGCGGACGGATTGGCTACCTGATCAGCAGCTGACGATTCGGTGTCTAACTCCATATTGTTTTCAATGTGATTCATATTTTGTTTATTATTTACAACGGACGATTTTGAAATCAGTCCCGAAGTAGAAGGTTCGCTGACTAATACCGCATTATTTTCAATGTTATTATTTTGCTTTGTGTGATTAACAGTAAATTTTGGTACCTGCCTCGAAGATTCAGCAGAGTTCAAAGGTTGGTTATTGCATTTGTTAACGGACGGTTTGTGTGTTTGCTTCAGAGTTGAAGGGTCAGAGTCCAGTTCCATATTGTTTTCATTTGTGTGCAGGTTATGTTGATTGCGTATTTGTTTTATTCTTTCGAGGTGACGTTGAACAAATTCAATATTGCTGTGTGAAGTATCATAAAGTACTTCGTTCGTTTCTACTAGCGGTAGTGAACATTGAAGTTCTGTTATATTATTATTTTCTGATGGTTCTAACATATTTACAAACTGTACGATTGTACAAAATGTATACCCTTACGAGTAACATTTGTTATGACTTTTTAAAACACTGCACTAATAATAGTGTATGTTTTTCTGAATACAGGGCCGGCCGTGGTCCCGTGGTAAGAACGTGGGCTAGCAAATCCTAGTCCCGGGTTCGAATCCAACCTCGGTCGGTTCGGTATCAAAGCAGCTTGATACCAAATTTTCATTTGAAATCATAGATTTCAAATATGATTTTAAGTGAAAATGGCCTTTCGTGGGCATTGCTGCATACGTATATGCAGAGTGTGCAATAGCTGCAGTGGCAGCATGCCTCTTACAAGTAAGAGGTACTTGGATTGTATAACTATACTCAGAATGAAAAAACAAGGACTCTGACTCTGTGCATCCATGACTGAGTTGTAGAATAAGTCAATACATCGACCTTCCGGAAAAGTTAAAATTCAAATATATGTAACAAAAAGGAAAAAAAAAGTAGTAAAAAACATGTAAATATGTTAGGAAAAAAAAGTAAAATGTATGTAATAAGTAAGAAATAGTAATATGTATGTAAGAAAAAAGCGTTAAGTGTCTTAAAAAATCTAAGAAAAAGTGTTAAGTATCTTAAAAATGTAAGAAAAAAAGAAGTAATAAAGTTTTTTTAAAAAAAAAAAAATCTCCTGTTTGAAATTTCGTGAAATCTTCGCAATATTTCGAGACAGACTGATTGTATATTGCTTAAAAAAAAAAAAAAAATACACTAGAACTAGATAATAACACTATTGCGTAATTTCACTTAAACTATTCCACTTGTACACTTGACAATATTTACCGGGAGGTCTTATCTGCTCGGTAGCTGACGAGCGACTAATATTAACAAATAAAACAAAAAAATTAATATAAAACTATTTTGAAATGATATTAACAATAAAAGCTAGTTATAACAATATCTAGTTTTTGTGTAGTTATCACAGCTAAATAAGCTGTCTTAACAAGTTTCTAAAATGATATTTATTATTATTAATTACATCTCACTTAGGAATAAAGAAATATTCTAAATTTATATAATAAATAATTATATAAACAAGTATACTAGTATCTAACTTTTAATGTTATTTCACGAGATAATTTATTAATATTGAGTATGGCATGCTCATAAATAAATAGTCTAAGAGCCAGTGAACTATTTGACTAACCTGTTTTCTCAAAACTAGAATTTTTTTTAATGATATTTTATTATCGGTACATTAAGAAAATACCGGTCTGGCAAGCATCTCGCAATTGCGTCATCATCCCTTGAGTTTTTGAAAATAACATTAAAATAAAATTTGTAATAAAAGCAAAACATTATACTTCTGTTTTCAAAATTTTTCTTCTGCTATTTCCATTTGAAAAGTAATATTAAATCGCGTAGTTCGATTAGCATATTATTACTTTTACACAATTATATAATTGTGTAAAAGTAATAATTAAATACTGAATATTTTTACTGCTTAAATACTAATGATATCACTGATAAATTTTGTACTCTAAAGTGTTGTTATTTCAGGCTATGGAAAAACAATATTAAATAAATGTATTTCGTTTCGTATATTTTTCGGTATATTTACGGCCAAAGATTCTCGTAGTTAGAAATCTGACCCTTTACTATTCAATAAATTATACATTTGAGCTATTCACACTTGAATACAATTTCATTGTTCTGTATCTTTAAAGTAACATTTTTGTATTTTCTGGAAAATACACAATGGTATTTATTTTGACTTTTATACCTAAAAGAGGTCATAAAACTGCCTGCGAGACAAGAAAGTGACCGTTTCCTTCCCAAATCAAAAACAACAAAAACACTAAACGCTTGTACGAGTTAACAGATTTAATACCAGTTTAGGGAAGTCGGATATGACAAATCCCGTGAGACAACTCCACTCGGATTCACTCCGAGGGAGGAGTTGTATCGGAGTGATAACTCCGGAGTCAGTTGCCCATCTCTAATACATACTCACACACAGTCATACACACACACATAAATAAATTGGCTAAATTTTTAAAAATTACAATAGGTGCCACTCCATTGAGTGCACAACTAATCTAGCTGAGGTATATATCGAAGGCTGAGTCTGGTCTTTATCAAAATTGATCTATCTTCCAATCGATTGGAACTTTTCTTTTGAGTCTCCTAGATCGGGGTTCTTCAATAAGATGTTTCATGATTTCATTGGGATGGGATTCCAACTTCTCAAAATGGCGATGACTGGTACTGCTAATTACATCTTTCACAAATGGTATGTTCAAGTCGTCATGAATAATTTTGTTACTGACATACCAGGGAGCGTTTACGATCTGCCTAAGAATTCTTGATTGAGCTCGTTGAATTGAATTAATGTGAGATTTTAAGAAAGCACATCCCCATAATTCCACACCGTAGGTCCATATCGGCTTTATTATTGTTTTATATATTAGTAACTTGCTTTCAATAGTTAATTTAGATTTGTTTCCTATGAGCCAGTAGAGTTCTTTAGCTCTATTTTTACTAGAGCTATTTTTGAAAGTATGTATATAAGTTTTATTGATGCATTTTTTGCACATACAGAACACTGTAAATAACCTTGATCTGGTGTTTCATCAGAAATATTTATCTGCAGAGTTGAAATAACTATTTATATAATTTATCTTTTGTAAAATTGCACTATTTACCTTAAATTACTTTTTTGTTTTTTTTCACACCTTAGCCAGCATTATTGTTGAGTTGGTTCTTTTTATCTCGCCCAGGTGTACACTTTTAAAGTGGTTATATAAAAAAGCTGTTGAATCTCACTCAAAATTAACATTACATTTTATTGAACAAATCAATAACGTATACTAAAATTATATTAAGGTCTTTTAAACTAAGCAACAGTGCTCACAACCTAACAAATTTACAAAAGAATATGTTTTTGTTAAAAGATTACCATTTATTTCCCGATAGCAAAGACGTAAAAATCAAGAAGATGACTGATTATACATGTTTTTCCCTCCACTTTTAATATTGTTGTTCAACAATGTCTAACTTCACCGGTTTTTGAGATATCGATGTTGGACCTTTTTACTCTGACCTTCATATATTACTATCCATTCTTCGATAAATTCATAGCTAGTCTTTAAAATTAATGAAAAATAACCATTAGTAAATTATATTTCACACTGCATTATCATATGGTTTAATTTAATACAAACTTCCAGAGCTGAAGATTTTTTTTTCAATTTGACTAACTGTGTCTAAAATGCATAGATTTTGGCATATCGTTTGAAAGGAATTCCTTCAAAATTATAAAACATTTGTCAAGGCTTAACAAAACTAGTTGTTATTGGTATTTTGCCTTGAAACAAGTTACATGAACTTCCCGATATGTGTAAATAATCGACTTTATCAATAAAAAATAAATTGAATTTTGAGTGATTAAAAGTATTCCAAGTGGATTTATTACACATAATTGAAAACGAACGAACACGTTAACTCGGAGTATTTTCTAAAAACAAATTTTCCAGTTACCGTAGGACTTATTAGTTTAGTATGTTCATTAAGAAAAGTACTCTCTCGTTATACCAAGTAAATCGTGTAATTTTAATTTTAACCAACGTCAAAAAAACTTTTTAAAATTAAACTACTTGTCATAAAACCGTAAATTTTCTGTAAGTTCTATAAGACCATGATATATATTGCCAAAAAAAGTTCCATTAAAATCGGCTTAAATTTTTATTCAACAGTTAATTACAAGAAAACGGCTCGGTAGATTTTCACCTAAAACTAATCAGTATTAGTCCCAACTAAGATATTACCTTTGGAACAGTTTTTGATTTTTCAAAATCGATTCGGTACTATTAGCTTAAATGTGGTCGAAAAGTTCAACACTTTTTTCCAAATTTCAAGAAACGGCTCGGCTGATTGTCGCACAAAACTGAGAAACAATAAACCGCATCAAGATACATCAAATGGCTTTTAAATTTCTGAAATTGGTTCAGTCGTTTCTGAGCGAACGTCGATAAAAGGTCTAATTTTGACAAACGCCAAAAAAGCCGACACTAATTTTCACAAACTTTGACGAATTTTTAAAATTAAACGACTTGTCGCAGGGACGTAATATTTAGTCTAGATCTAGAAGACTATGGTATCATAAAAATAGTCGAAAAAAAAATTAAACACTTTATTACAAGAAAACGGCCCAGCCGATCTTCGCCAAAAGCAAATCGGCACGATTCCCAAACAATATCTTTCGAACAGTTTCAAAATAGATTCAGAATTGCGGGCTAAAACGGCTTGCGGGTTTATAAAGAAACGGCTTGGCTGATCGTCGCGCAAAATTGATAAACGCTAGTCCTCGTCGAAATACATCAAATGGTTTTTAAGTTTTTGAAATCAGCCTAGCCGTTTTTGAGAAATCGTCGATTTACGGCAAAAAATCTGTTCACATACACATACACACACACATACCAACATACTTTTTCCAAATTTGGTCTCATTCAATTCGGAATGGCGTGAAACGTCGAGAAAACATAAAATTAGCGAATCGGATTTTTTTTATTAATACAAAAACTTCTCCTTCGGGAAGTTAATAAACATAGTGAATCATTTTTCTGCTAAACTCATTCTAATACTACTGGAACTGTTGATACGTTTAATAGAATGCAAGCTATATAATCAATTTTCAAAATAGTTTCTTTCAGAGAACTTGTAATGTTGTGCACTGTCATTTTTACAGGTGTATGTTCCAAAATTATATATTATCATCCAAATCTTATTATTTAAATTGTGGTCGGTTATTATAACTGGGAATAAGTTGTTCGACAAAATTTTCTCCTTTGATCGATTCCTAATTTAGGTTCTTAATTTAAATAACATAAACAAAAAAATATAATCTAAAAAATGTTTTATAAATACGAACGAGTATAAATTTATACAAATAAGTTTTTTCAGAGCACCGACTTTGAGAAATATGATTTACAAAAAGTGCTATAACGCCAAAAGGTGCATTTTCATATTAATATTTAAAAAAGTGGATATTTTGAATTTCTAATAACACCTGCAGAATCTTAATAACATTTTTGTGTATAAATAAAACTACAAACAAAAACTACTTACTACAATCAATTAGTATTCATCTAAAACATCTTATTAAATATAATTGAACATCTGCCAAAACCATTGAGCCGTCGTCCATTGTTTCAATTTAAATTACGCTATGATAAACACTTTCAAATTAAAAATGTAAAGTTTATACGCGGTTTTGAAATAATATTACTCCTTTTCCACAACCTATGGAATAGCAATTTTTCAAAAACTAAGACTGTCCAAATCCGTACAGCCATTTTAAAGTTTTACCATAACTAACAAATTACCAAGCTCCATTTTTATATATAAGATAATTTTTAATCACAATATTTTTGGTATACTTTTGCTATATATAAAATCATATTAATGATATACTTATGCTTTAATATAAAATAGAGTATATTATTATCCCTAAGATAATGTTTCATTTCAGGCTCATCCTAAATATTCGTTCAAATACGGAGTAAATGATTATCACACTGGCGATGTCAAATCACAACATGAAACCAGAGACGGCGATGTTGTAAAAGGTATATTTTCATGGATTTATTTTTAATTATTATGAACACAAAAAATATTTTTTTTTATTCATAGTTTATTTAGCAATCAGAAATATACAACAATTCTATAAGCAAAACTGAAAGCCTTATATTGTAATAATGACATTATCTTTTTATGTGGTTATGCATTGTCCAGCGGCCAGGTTCTCTTCAGCCTCCTTCTCTGTCCAGTTTGTAATAATTTGTGCGCTAATATGTTAGGATGATTTTCTAGTTTGTTTTTTGTTTTGATGCCTGAAGTCTTATTGTTTTGTGAACACGTGGAGATCATATACCGTTTTGTTAGTCACATACCACGGAGAACCTAGGATCGATCTAAGGATTTTAGTTTGTGATTTGTGAATAATTGCTACGTTGGATTTTGAAGCGCAGCCCCATATGTTCATATAGGTTTGATTATAGTTTTAAGAAGCAGTTTGTTTTCTACTGATAGTTTGGATCGTCTGCCAATCAACGAATGCATTTCAGCTGCTTTTAGAACTATTTACTCTTTTTTTTTCATTATATGTTCTTTCCAGCTCAGTTTATTGTCAAGATGAATTCCAAAGTATTTAACCGTTGTTTTTTGTGGAATTTCTACATTATTCAAAAATAGCGGTGGACATTTCTGATGACATAATAAAAAAGTTACTTGAACTGATTTTGATTCGTTGATTTCAATTCTCCATTTTTTGTCCAGATTTCTAACATATGGAGATAATTTTGTGTAAGGTTGGAAGCTAAAATCGAATTTTTGTGCGTGGCCAACACTGCTGTGGCGTCTGAAAATGTAGCCAACAGAGAATTTGTTGTTATTGGTAAGTTGCTAATGTATGATATATATACGAAGGGACCAAGTTTCTTTTGGTACTCCTGATAGTATTTTATAAAGTTCGGTTTTTACTGTATTTATTTTTACTTGGAATGTTCTATTTTCCAAGTAAGATTTCAGTAATGAGAAATACTTTTCTGGTGAATATTTTTTTATTTTGTAGAATAAGCCTTCATGCCACACCTTGTCAAAAGCTTGTCAAATACCTAAAAATAGGCCGTTACAGTAATCCTTGTTTTCTAGAGCTTTGTTGATAACGTGTACTATTCTGTGAACTTGTTGTATCGTTGGGTAATTCAAATTGATGTGATGGAATCCAGTTATCTATTGGTGTGTCATTGTTAATTCGCATTAGTAAGATTCTTTCCAGTATTTTAGAAACTATTGGTAGTAGGCTAACAGGTCTATAGGAGGATACACATGGCAAATCCTTACCAGGCTTGGGTATAATTAGTATTTGAGCTGTTTTTAAATTTTTCGGCCAGTAGCCATTTCTGATGATGGCATTAAAATGTATGTTATGAGGACTATCACTTTCCTAGGAATTTCCTTCAGCATCTTGCCTGTTATAAGATCAAACCTTGCAATTTTTTTGAGTTCAATGCTACTATTTGGGAATAAACTTTCTTGGGTCTAATTGGTTTTATTGTTTGATGTTTCTCAATAGACATTTGCAGTTTATTATCCATTTCAGAATCATCTGAGTTGTCCGTAGGCTGAAATACAGATGCAAGATGTTCAGAAAATAGTTGATCTTTTTCTTCATCACTTTTTGCCCATAGAGTATTTGGAGTTCTTCTTATCGGTGGCGCTGGGAATTTGGTTTTTCTATGCTACGTATTGGCTTCCAAATTGAATTATCTGTTCTAGATAGGTTGAAGATATACTGTGTAAATTCTTCTTGTTTGATTTGCTTTATTTTCTGTTTAAATTCCCTACTTAATTTAATATATTTATTTTTGTCGTCTGGCCTATGGCTTTTCTGCCATTTAGATCTGGCACGCCTTTTTTCTTGTATAAGGATTTTGATTTCCAGGGAAACGTCCTTTTCTGTCAGCATAGGTTTAATGTCTGAAGTTGCATCCTGAACAGATGATTGCACATTCCCAACCAATTCATTTATAGTTTTTGCAATGTTTTCGTTTTCTTGGAGCCTAGTTTTTAGATTTGTACAGCCATTCAAGTTATTTCTGTATCTCTCCCAGTCAGTGAATCTATTTTGTAGTTTTAAAACTTGTGCTTTTGGAACCATTGTAATTCCCACTGTTAAAATAACTGGTGAGTGATTCGATGACAGTTCGAAGCTGGGTTTTATGTCAAGAAATTTTTCGTTTATATTATTAACGACAAAAATTCTAGTAAATCTGGAATTTTAAGTGGATCCGAAGACCAGTATGTAGGGGATTCTGTTGACTGAAATGAGTAATTGCGTTTAGTAATAGTGTTAAGAAATTATTTCCTTTTGCTGTTATAGAGAGAACCCCACATGGTATGTTTACAGTTGTAGTCGCCTCCTGCTATGAATCTAACATCCAATTTTTTAAAGAAATCTTCGAAGTCAGACCGTTTTATACTATGACTAGGTGAACAGTAAACCGCTGCATTAGTATTATATCGTATAGTTGAAGTTTAACTTTTATTATTGTGGCTTGCAAGTGATTTTCCTTATGGGCAAGAATAATGATCTGATTTGCTTTTGACTAATATCGCTGAGCCTCCGTAAGCATTACCGTCCGGATGATTGCATTGATACGTTGTATAGTTTGGTATAGTAAAATACGATAAGTCAGTAAAGTGTGTTTCACTAATCAGTAATCACTAATCAGTAAAATGTCAATGTGGTTTTATTTCAAAAATGTTATGATTTCTAGTTTATGCCGTATTAGACCGTTGGCATTCCACAGATCTATTCTTAAAAACTGAGCCATTAATGATTCAATTTGTTTATTAAAGTAGTGAGCATATTGAGAATCATGCCGTTTTGATGAATTTGTTGATTGAACATTGTTTATTTTTGCGTATTTCAAGAATTTACTAAAACTCTTTTTCTTCGATCACTCAGGTTGTTAGGTTATTATTTAACCTTTGTCGCTGTGGACTGTATTAAAAAACTGATTTAATTTTATATTCTGTATTTGTTGCAGTTCTAATCACAATAACTGATGTATTATTAAGTATTAATGAAGAAAAATATATTTATGCGTATAGGTTAGTTACATGTGTTTAAGTCGGCTTCACTTTTAGAACAGAACAACTAGTTCCTTTAAAACACTCCGCTACCCCCTCTCTACCAGGGGTAGCAACCATTCCGTATAAAGCTTAATGCTCTGAAGTTTTGTAAACTTTCATGGCCAATATAATAAAATGAAAAGACGTCCGAAAAAACATTTTTTTGAATTCATTCAAAAATTCTATTATTATTATTATTATTATTTATTTATTCATTTATTTATTTATTTACTATTATTATTATTTTTTCTTTAATATAATTATAAATATTATTTTTTAATTTTTTTATTCATTATTATTATTGTTGTTATTATTTTTATTATATTTTTTTTCTCTTTCTCCTTTGTGTCACAATAGCTTATAAGATAAATTATATCTTGATTGCTATAAATAAATAAAAAAAAAAAAAAAAAAAAAAAATTCTGAAAGATTTGGTTTAACAAAATCTAATGTATTATGGGAATCTCCACATCGGGAACATACATGCGGTCTGTAGCAATATTTTTTGTATGACCAAATAATTGGCATATTTTGCACTGCACTATTGTTTGATTATCATTTGATGGTTCGATGCGAATTATGTGGTTGTTCAGTTTTGTAATTGAGTATATGTCTTTATTATTTTTTGTTAGGTTCCAGATCCAGATAAAAAGATTTAATGGTTCTTGGTTTATAATATTTGTTACATTCCTAACATTGTGACCTAATGATTCAAATGCATTTTTCATTTCAGTTGTGTCGGTTGTGTGATGTATATATCTGATCACTACCTTGTAGGCCCGCTCTTCTCTTAGTTGATAAGTGTGATGCCTCACCTTGGTTATACGCAGATATCTAGCTAGTGCTCTAAATACATCGGAATTTGTGCAAAATATTTTGACCACATTGTCCTTTAATGTACGCACGTGATAGTCATTCGATGATATAACAGTGCTTATTTCTAGTAGCATGTCGTTCAGATTGTCTACGTCATAGTATTATTTTCTTGAATATTGCTGTTGTTGTTTTGTAGCGTACTATTGTTATTTAGCGGTGCAAATCTGTTTTGTGTGATGATTGGCGCAGCGGAAAACTTGCATTTTTTGCTATTGTTTTGTGTTACTGACTTAGTTCTTGGGACTGGCTGCCAGGAGTACTGTGGGATAAATTCAATTGAATCTTCCATATTTTCTGAGTGCGAAGTGTTCACTATGGTTTCTGAGTTAGATGTTTCTGCCATATTGTTGATGTTGATTGTCATTTCATTATTAAAAGAGATTTCGAAGTCAGAATCAGTCATCGATGTATCGAGCAGTACATTCATATCCCCGAAGGGAATGAATTCGCGAAAGATATTATGTCACTCCATGAATTATGTGTTTTATGTAAGTGTACATAAATATAAATATAATGGCACTGTATGTATTCAATAATCAAACTGTAACACGACTTGTATTTGAATTTTTGATGTTTACCCATCGGCTGTCGATGTAGAACTGAACACAAATATATGAAACAAAATTTGCTTTTTATATGTTTTTTGCATAAAATAGGTTTACAATATATTTGTAAGATATAGTAGGGCAAGGCACAAAGTCCAGTTTAATATTTGAAAATTATACTGTAAAAACCAAACAGACTAGATAAAAAAATAACACATATCAAACAACTATTTGACTATGTTCAGTAAAATTTACAGCTAATTCATAATTGTAAAACTATATTATTTTGCTATTTTGCATTTTACCCCATAAGCGGGATAAGTTATTATAATTTTTTAAAAACCGACTATTTCATTTATAATTTTAAAGAGGTTTTATTGAATATTAGCTACATTATTTGCTCAATGCAGTGCAGTTTATTTATTAAAGTTGAACATCAAATTTCAAAATCATCTAAATATGAATTTTCAAATGAAGTAAACAGATAAATTACATTTACTACTCTCTCA